AAAACACCCTCATTTCTGAAGCTGTCACTGTCCAGCTTAATGCCTTACACATACAAAGCTTTCTCAACAAGAGCAGAGATCCTGTGCTGTGCAGGTCTGTGATACTTCAGACAGCTGGTTGGCATGGCCAAGAGCCCATGATAGAGGCTGAGCCCCCCTTTACTCAGTTTAATGCCCTATCCTCATCTGTAGCACTTTTAAGAACTTCCTTACTTCTCCCCTTCTGTCTCCACAGGTCCAGAAGATGGACAATTTGTTCCATTATGCAATGGAAAACTGCCAGGGCACAACTTGCTTTTCTGCAGCTGAGAAAGCCACAAGGTGAGCAACCTCCCACTCTCCCCTCTCCTAAGTCACATAGAAGTCAGTGTAGCAATAGCTCAGATATGGCTTTGTGCACCCATAACCTGCTAGAATGGGTGCCCTGGACTTGAGATTTCTCTATTTGTCTTCTCTGCTTTGCAGCCTGTTTTTACGCTGCTGCAGCAGCCAGTGCCATGACATCAGGACACACAGGCTTATGTGAGCTGGCATTCAGCTTGGTAAGCCAAGTTCAACTAGCAAAGAACTACAGTTAGCAATTCAACACACACAATCAGTCCAAGAATCTTCATAAAGACATAATTACATTCCAGCCTCTGTTTAAAATTATGGAAATTACACTCAGTCACCACATCTAAATGTGAAGTCATGGATTTTAAAGCCTAATTCTGTGCTATTTTTAAAAAGAAACAAAACTCTTGCCTTTTGTTGTAACCTGGGTCTCAAATGTATTTCTCCACAGCTCTACAGAGCATTAAAACATATGTTTTATAAATAAAATACTTTTATTAGACTAGTAGATGGGTTATTTTAAATCAAGAATTAAAATACAGTTGGTATTAAACTATTGTTTCCATTCATTTCACTAAAGTCAAAGTTACTGTAGATTACTCAGGAGGTAATATTTATCTGGAAAAAAAAGTTTTTTAAAAAAATATAACTAGAATTTCTTTTTCCTCTTTTTATTATGCATGTTTTGGCTATATAATTTAAACTAGACAACTTAGCTAATAGAGCATAATACTAAGCAAAACCAGAACTTAACTGGAACTGTCAATAAACTGTTTTACTGATCTGTTCCTGCTTCTGATGTGAAAATTATCCCATCACTACATTTATGCTTTCATTTCATTAAATACAATTATTTTTCGTTGTGCTCTCTGAAAGAGCTCCATCCAAGAAAAACATTTAGAGATACTCCAGACACCTAATCCAGCTTACTGGGTAACTGCTTCTAAGAAGACTCCTAGATAGTAAAACTCTTCTATTGTTTCTTCTTGTTTTATAGAAGCATCATAACACTCTTTACCTACTTGGACACCAGCCACATCCAGCCTGGTACAGTACTCAGAAATGGAAAAACATACTCGGGTGTGGCCTCTACAGACCACACTGTCACCTGAGCATTCAGTTACAGTGGTTTTCCATAGAGTTGGAAATGTAAGAAAACAGCTGGCCACGGCAAAACAAAGAGCAGTCTCTTCTAAAACAAGAGACCCTTTATACAATAAACAGGCTTAGTGTGCCGCTTCAGAATGACGCAGTGGCAAGACAATATAAGCCTCAACTTAGATTAAAAAATGGTAACCTGGTCTATATATATCCTTCAAGCCCACAGACAGACTTGCGAATTATTTCAATTTGCTGTTCTAAATATCAGCTGTATCAGAAACTTCATTCTGGCCTAAGTTCTACTACCTTGCTGCTGTGCAAACAAGGTAAAGTTAGTTATCCTGCAGCTCCTTTGGGATGCTGTTACAAGCAACGTTGTTGCTTTTGTATCAGATAGTATGGTTACATTACTTCAGGGATCGTGTAACCTTTTGGATTTCTATTTTTACATGGTATCTCTCATAGGCTCAATGACAATAATTTTTCTGTCAATCCTCAATTGAAAGAAATCTAATTAGCAATGCTTTGCTCATCACCTAAACCAGTGGCTGTTTTCATGCTCATGAAATCCAAAATAAAATCTTAACTTAGGCCTCTTCCTTCAGTAAGAAAGGTGTGTCAAGTCAGTCTCACTGAGTCTTGTTATTGTACCACTGTAATGGGATCATTTTCAGCATGTGCCCATTTTCTCAGAGTAACAAGCGGGGCCTGTCTCTGTGCTCTTTATTGATCCTGATGTCTCAACAGTCTGGGCTAGATAGGATGAAGAACTTGAACTGCTTTACCTTTTTTAAGGGACAATTGGATGAAAGGGGTTCCAGCTTTAATAAGTATTTCCTTTTCTTCCCCTCCCCCCCCAGTGTAGGAGCAACATAAATTGATGCAACTTAAACTCCTTGTCAAATAATTTAACCCAGACCAGTAACACCCTCCTGATGTAACACCCCCCTGATGACTCTGTCATTCTATGAAAGACTTAACTGCATTAACTTAAATTCATGTCAAGTTAAAAGGAGGAACCTCTCTCACACAGGATTTCTTCTGCACACCCATTTCATGGTAGGTTTCTGTACTTTTTGCTGATCTTTTATTGCTGCCCATATGCCAGACATTCTTCTGCCAGCATCCAAATATATCTGTTCCCAAAAGATTTAACATGGATTTATTTTAAAATATAAAATTTGACTGTTCTTATATAGTCTGATATTTATCCCAATGTATACATAGCAAATAGGGTTGAAAAACAGATTTTCCAACAAGTGTTTACATTTCCATTTAATATGAGAATACTTTCCTGTTATATAGTAAGAATATGAAGTACAGAAAAAATAAGTTAATATAATGATCTGGGAAAGAGAAATGTTACTGTTTTAGAGACTCATCTCCTGCACCTAGAGGAAATATCACACATACCTTATAAAGTTGTACACAGTACTGTAATATATATGACATAATTTTCCAATTTCCTGGAAGAGAGTCATGAAAGCCATTTTTAAACAACTAGCTCCAGAATAAACCACATGAATTACATGTAGAAACTGGATTAAGGAGGGATTATACAGCAGTGCCATTAAAACAGTCCAAAAAAAGCACTGATCCTACAGTTGAATCTGAGTAGTCATACACCTGAGCAAGACCAAGAACAGTTTCTCCAAAAAGTCTGATCAAAATTCATTAATAAAATCAGACAGAACAATAATATTAGCATTTGAAGAGTATGACAGTACAGTAAGACCATTGAAAATATCCCTGTTTTATCAATTACATTCCAACAAAAATCATAATCTGAATCACAAGTATACTGCAGAGCTGCATAAGCACCAAGATAATATAAAGTAAAAGCTTATCCATCAAGTCCCTCTGATAAAAGGTCCCCTATAAAAATGCCAATTTTTAACGTACATTTAAGTACTTATGGCAAGAGGTACTGATTCCATAAACGAAAAGTCACTGCAAAGTCTGAAAAAAAATCTAAAACTTGAAAAAAAATCAAAAGTAGAGCATTTTCTAATGGTCTGAGAAACAGCAAAACTCACTCCAGTTCCTGAGATAAATTGCAGATCAATTGTGAAAATTTACCAGATTGTACCACACTCTCCCACCTTCTCTTACACACTGCACACAAGGTCGGCACTGAAGCATCTACTAAACTTACAAGTCAGTAAAGCATGTGAAAGCTCAAAACATTCACATTTCCTTTTCCATTATAAAAACAAGAGACTGGCAACTTAGGTGAGAGACAGATAGACTTTTACCACAGTCTGTCAAAATAATTTCCAGGCAGAGGCAGTTGTTTTAAACTAACTGCACTTACATCTTTTAAAACTAATATAATTTTGTATTTCTATCCTGTTTTCACTGATACCAGTGCTCTTATTCATGCATCTGCTGTTTAAAAGAGCATTCCATACATGAGTTCAAACTCCTGGGGTCAAATTTTTTAAAAGAGTATGTGTCACCTAACAGCTCAGCAGGTCTCTGTATGCTGGAACCATCAATGTGCTTCATTGCTACTAGCCATATGGTCAGTTCCTAACTTAGCATTAACGTTGTGCTCCATCTTCTGTAAAACCGCTGGAAGATCCAGAACAGAAGAAATAATATAATGAGGTACTGGGGAGGTATCTACCGGGGTGGTCATTGCTTTGTTTAACCAGACCGTTGCTTTCAAGCCAGCATTCAGGCCTCCTTGAATATCTGTATCTAGAGAGTCACCAACCATCACACACTCTGCGGGTTGCACCCCCAGGAGATCGCAGCAGTAATGAAATATGGATGGCGCCGGTTTCTCTTCTTTCTGCTCTCCCCCCACAACGATAGCATCGAAGTAGGGCTGGCAGGCGCACGCCTCGATCTTCTCCCTCTGCGTCTGCCTGTCGCCGTTCGTGAGGAGCAGCAGGCGAACCCTCTTCCGCAGCTCCGTGAGCATCCCCCGCGTGTCCTCGGACAGCGTCAGGTGCTGCAGCCGCGTCGTCTTCCACAGGTAATAGCATTCGGCCGCAAGGTCGCGGTTCGCCTCCCCCCCCATGGTCTCCTGGATCGCCTCCTCCCAGTGCGAGATCCGCAGGTCGGTGATGCACATCTTGGCGGGATCGTGGCACTCCTTGAGAAGCTTGGCCTGGACCTTGTCGCAGATGGCGCGTGCCTCTCCCTCCCCGTAGTGGTGCTTGGACTGCAGGGCGCTTATCACCTGCAAGGGACACGGGGCCGCGCGTCAGGGCGCTGCGGAGGCGCGCGGCGCGCTCCCGGGAGCGGCCCCCACCTGCCTGTGGGCAGGGGAGGGGAGCGCGACACTGGCGGCCCTCAGGCCGCCGGGCCGGGAAGAGCCGGGCCAGGAAGGCCGGTTGCCGCGGGCCTGGCGCCAGGAAGGGACAGGGGCAGTACCTCCTCGATGGCGCGGCGCCCGGCCGCCGCCGTGTCCACCAGCGTGTTGTCCAGGTCGAAGAACACCGCCTTGACGCCGTGCAACCCCATGGCGCCGCCTCCCGCGCGAGCCGCCCCGCTGGAACAGTGGAGAACGCCCCGAGCCGCCGGCACAGCCGCCCGTGCCGGGCACAGCACGGCGGGGCCGCCCGGACCCGCCCCGGGCCCGCCCCTCGCGTCAGGCCCGAGGGGCGGTGCGGGAGGGGAGCGCGTTCCCCGCTGGGCGGCGGAGGGAGCTCGGCCCTCCTCGCCGGGATATTAGGGTTGAACTCACGCAAGGCCCCGGAATGGGCTGTGAGGAGACCCCGCCCAGATCCTGAGAGCTTGTGCGGGAAAGAAAAGGCTGCGGGAGCTCCGGTGCCCTGGGAGCTGCAGCGTAGAGGGAAAGGGACCCGTGGCGGGGCGGCGGCTGAGCCCGGGATTAGACTGCACCTGCCTGAGGAGGGAGTAGGAAAGAAAGAAAGGAAGGAGGGAGGGGTGAGCAGGTGTGCGGGACGCGTCAGTACCGCGGTCGCGGGTGTGGCGGGGGGTGGTGCCACGCCGTGGGGTTTTTGGTGTGTGGTTTGGTGTTTTGTTTGTTAATTTTTTTCCTCTGTTTAGGAATGCTCTCTGGGTGAGACAACGGACAGCTGGCATCTGATTGGAAAACACATGTTGAAATGCTGCCAGGGAACAGCTTTGCCGTGAAAGGATTCCTCCCGCGGCGCTTCCACCGGGGAAGGACTACGCGGTGGCTCTCGCTCCCGTTCCTTGCCTGTTCCCGGCGGTTGGCGGCAGCTCCGCTCCTTGTGCCGGCCCCGGAGATAGCGGCCTCCCTGGTTTCATACTCGCGGCTGCTGTCGCTGGAGAAGCCTGTTACCAGCCTTATAAAAGGTCACCAGCGAGGTCTCTACACGGTGTCGCTGGCGCGTGGCGCCCAAAGATGCCGAAGTCGCGCTTCGGAGCATTCCGTGCACGGGCGTTGGTGAACAGGGAGCTGCACGAGGGAGAAGGAGAACACACGTGAGAGATTCGATTCATTTCACCTTTCCCGGCTTCCCTGTTGCCTTCTGGAGCGTGTTGTCCCGCAGAGTCATCTGCAGGCAAAGCAAGCCGCAGCACCAGGATTGAATCATCCATAAACAAATGTTCGTGATAAAGCCAAAGTCCGTAACTCCACTATTTGGGGAACTGGCATGATAATAAAATATTTGAGGTTCCAAAGGTCAATATTTTCTGGAGCAAATGAGTTGGAAAGGCATTCAGATGAAGGCCTGAACGGCTTGGTAGGAAGTTTTTTAAGTGTATGTACCAAATGCTGTTCCAGAATAGATCATTTTCCCCAATTAAGCAGGCTCGATTGCTCAAGTAATATTCCAATTGTTCTTTGACAACGTTTTGATAAACACAATATCTTTTTTGATCAACCAGCAAGCAAATTTTGTTAATTTGATTGGTATGTAATATTGCTAATGTTGATTAGGTGTTAATAACTAAGTGCAATTAGCAAAGCTGGAGGAAGCTTTGTTTCTTACCAGAGAAACTGAAAGTTCACCTTTAGGTCACTTTCAGTTCTGCAAACTGCACCTTGGATAGTAATCTCCTTTTCTGATAAAAGATGTTGAGTCACACACAAGGCCAAAATAAACTGCTCTTTAGGGCTTGGCATATGACAATTAGAATTAAAGAAGGCAAGCCTTTAAGGAGAGAAGGAGATTCTGAGAAGAAATAGAGATAGCTGAGGATTCTGTAGTTAAGGCAAAAGGAGGAATTTTAATAAAATTTCTCTAGTTGACTTTAATAAAATGCGCTACTTTCACTTGATAGAACAGAAAAGGTGTTAGGCATGTGGATTTCGTGTGCCTTTACTGAATCACTGTTGTGAGATCCTGGATCCGAATCTCATTCAATTATTGATGTGGGTCAGAACCAACTCACTGTGAGTGTGTGTGTGTGTGTGTGTGCATGTGGGGAAGGGCTGGGCCTGGGCCTGCAGATCCCTGGTAAGGCCTGCACATAAGGCCTGTGCTGAGGGCACAGGGCAAAGCCGGAAGGCAAGGCCTGCAGCCCATGCAGAGCACACAGCATCACTGAAGGCCCTGCAGTCGGGCTGTTAGTCAAGGCAGACCTGACTGGTAGCTCACCCACATTACACCCCTGCAGCCTGTGACTGGCCACAGCACAACTCACTCTAGCCTGGAAGGCACTGACTGGATATCCTGCCTGGGAGGGAAAACTGAACTCTATAAATACACGAGACTCCATATAGTCCCTCCTTCCCTCTGGTCTCTCCTGCAGCCTGAACCATGTGAGTTGGTAACAATTTTTTTACCTCTTCTCTTCCTTCTCTCTTCTCCCTCTCCAGCTGGCACCACGTGAATCATCGAATCTTGTCAGAAAATATTCTACTCTCCTTTGTCTCTCCTTTCTTTCTCTCTCTCTCTCTCTTTCTTTCTTTATTTATTCCTTCTAACCTGTTTTCTTTTACTCTTTTCCTTCTCTTGTGGGTAACTTAAAATCAATAAACTCCTTTTTACTAAAGCTGTTGAATGGATTGTTTAGTGAGTGTTTTCTGTGGAATGGGTCTTTGTGCTGAATGTTTTAGTGAAATGCTTTTTTTCTTAGTTGTATTTTACTCCTGTAAAAACCTTTTGCCAAAATATCCTATTTTTCTCACTAAATCAAAAAGAATTTCTCTCAGAGAAGAGCGTATGACTCTTTCTCTGGATGCTAATTAGAGGTTATAATGAACCAAAAGGCCTTTAAAAACTCTTAAATAAAAATGTAACTGCTCTGGTCGGTTTATAGCTTAATCCAGAGCGCAACAACTGTTTTTCAGAATTTACACAGAAGAGTGGTTAAGAATAGCTGGATTTCTAGGATTCTCTCTACTTAAGAAGATGGCATTTTTTTCAGAAAGCCCTGCATTGCAGTCAGTGAGCAGTGGATGCTATGTGCACCTTTGGGAAAAGGTACGTTTCCCTAAAATTAATGTTTGTGCTTTCTTTGAGTGTTGGTCAAAGAGGTCATAATTGTCATAAATGTCTTAAAGGATTTTATAAGGTATATATTTGATTAGAAGGTTTCAGTTATGGAATTGAAGGAGTTAAACCATGAATTATAGTTGTATTTTAAACTTTTTTATTTTCAGTTTTCTCATCAACTGACAGTGCATAGAAAACCTTTGTTTGCTTTGGAGTAGGACCGTAACTGTGAAATGTCCTTTTGTGTATGCTTGGAAAAGTCTCTGCAAGGTTGTTGAACTTCAGCCAGCTGTTTGCCATGCTGCATTTATTTGAACCCCCATGTTAGCCCACTAATGACAGCTCTATCTATCAGCAAGTGCATTACTTTCTCATTGTTCTTTCTGCAGGCTTGCTAGAGGCTGGAAATGCCTCACAGAAGCTCAGAGCCAGGAAAACAACAGTTATTGGAAACCTAAGTAGGAGACAAGCTGAAATACAAAGTGTTCTAGAAGCGAAAATGTAAGAATGCCATTTTGGTATCCTTAAACAAGCTCCATACATAGAATCAATAGAATTGCTCTAGGTGGCTTTTAACAAGGAAGAACATCATAAGCAGTTTCAAAGGAAACCAGTTTTGTCCATACATACAGAAATAATAACTTGTGAATTATGTGACTCATATCATGGTTTGTCCTTTTTTTTTTTCTTCCCCTACAAGATGATTATACTTAGAAGTTCTGTGTTTGGAACTCTCTGATTCCTTTTTTCTGCATCCCCACTGGTGTCTGAATGGGTTCCTTGTTGGTTTTGTGAGCACTGTGAGAGAGCAGGTGTACTTCCTGGGTGCCCAAGTCATTTCCTCATACTGAGGAAGACCTAAGGCTTACTGCTGTTTTCCATCTCTCCTCTACGGCCATCTGGTTTCTGCTGGAGAGAGACTTTGCAGGTGGGTGGAAATCAAAGCAGAGTTCCGTAGGTTTTGTATCTGGGTCGTCAGGAGCAGGTGCTGTGTGTGCACGGTGAAATGTATTTGCTCCATACTTTAGATCTTGCCTCTGGAAAGTAATCTTGAAGATTTTTCTTTCCAACTTCCACAGAACATATTATTAATTTGGTGGCTGATTTTTTTTCCTTTATCCCAGTAAGAATTTTACTATGAAGTGCCTTAATGTTTAGTGATACCTGTAATATGTTTCAAGTTTAATGTATTGAGGAATACTTGACATCCAGGTGGCTCAGCTTGCAAGCTGCAAATAGAAATGCAAACTGGGCTCTGAGTGGGAGCGCAAGATGAGGCTGTGAACTGCCAATGTTTGGGATAACAAAGGACACGAAGATGGCTTTGTCAGCATTTTGAAAACAAAGGAGATGAAGACAGGTGATGCCAGCAAGGCGGATAGACATGGAGAGGGGAGGCAGGAGGAGAAGACAGAGAAGGAAGAGCCAGACTGGTGTGCGGGGGAGACTGTGAGGGTATAAAAAAAGCCCAGGTGTTCTAGGCTCAGGGCTTGTTCTTGGAGGGACTGTCTTGAGTTGTTGTTGTGTTACTGTGCCAGGAATAAATTGCCTTGTGGAACGTCTTAGACTCTGCTGAGGGAAACCTGGGGTTGAACTGGTAAGGAAGTATGGTCTGTCTGTGTGTGAGAGGGGTGTGTAGGGGGTCAAATGGGATGCCCATCAGCTCTTTGGAGCCACCCACTGTGAAGGGCCTTTGGTCCCAGCAGTGAAAGTCTCTGGTTGTTGTAAGGGTGACTGCCAGTGAGTCTCGTCAATGATCAGACTGGGAAGTTTTATTAACAAATGAAGTGTTAAAAAATGAGAAATGAGAAACTGCTCTCGTGTTGGAGGAAGTTATCTGTTGACTTAAGTCAAAATAGAACTGTGTGAAGAAATCTGAGCAGGCTGAGTGGATTGACTAACAACATTCAGTTTGGATAAATGCAGACAATCCAGGCTGAAAGAAAAAATGCTTGTTACACTATTTTTTCCCTGCTTTTTAATATTTCTAAATTCAATATGTCCACTTTGGTGTCATCTCTATAAAGTGGAAAATTACCTGTTTAAAATCATCTCTTATCAATGTGGTGATGTACCACGTAAAAAAAATATTTTGAATTTTTTCTTTCTTAATTTACGTTAGTGATACAGCTTAATTTAGAGTAACTTGTGCTTCCTGATCACCTCATTAAAGAAGTATGCCAGATGTAGATTTGGATGGTTAGAAAAAGTGTTTAAGGGCTAAGGAAAAGCTTAAAATTATTGTGGAAAAATGGAATGGTATAAAAAATAAGATGCCTAAAATAACACTGAACCGAAAGCATAAGAGCTGAATTGAAAAATCAAAATTTATAAAGGGCAATACTTTTTATGTGCCATAACTATGGTTTGGATTTTATTTCTCTGGGAATCTGCTGAGGCTCTTGCAGTATTGCAGAGCAGTGGGATACTAATATGAACACCAAGAACGTCTGGATCTGTCGTTAAGTCTTTCACACTTCGTAAGGGATTGTCGGAAAATAAACTTCAGCTCAGTCAGACCCAATACAGGAATATAAGCGTTAATCGGCTAGTCAGAGAAGGAAAAGGGCCACTAAGAAAACATATTTGGATGTATTTGGGAGCAGCTGGGTGTGCCACTGCTCTCTGCTGTCCGTGTTGCTGAGCTGTAGTGTGTGGTTGCTGTAGCAGAAAAAGGCAGCAGCTAGTCAGGGAAGAAGGCCGGGGGGTCCCAGCACTGTGGGTGACACATCTTTGCGAAGCAGCTCGCTCTCCTTGCTGCCCTCGTTCCCCGGTGGCTTAGGAGCGCTGGGCAGAGCGAAGCTGGCGGAGGCTCCGCTCCGTGAGGCGCGGGCAGAGCGCGGCTTCTCGCGGCCTCGGGAAGGAGGGGCTCGGCCGCCCTTTCGGTTTCGTTTCCACCGGACCGGGCGGTGCTGCGGGAAACGAAACTTCGTGCCGCGGCGGGCTGGGCTGCACCGCTCCGGCTGCTGGAGCTGCGGGACCTGGAGCATCTGCCGCGGCTCGCAGGTAAACGGCGGGGACGGCAGGCAGGAGATCCGGCGGGTCCCACCGAGCGGGGCTGCCCGCACCACGGCGGGAGCGGCGCTGGCCCGAGGCTCTTGGCGGGCGGGAGCCAGAGTTCAGCTTTGGACAGTGAGGCTGAGCCTGCTCGTCATCGCGATTTGAAGAGGTATGTTCAAGTGCCGCTAGGCTCCCCTCTCAGGGAAGCGATTCTAGTTCTGGAGAAACGTAACAGATTATTCTACCCCCACAGAATTTGGTGAATGTTTCTGTCTTTTCCTCTCAAGAAATCTGCTAAGAAATCTTCTCTAATCACTAAGTTCTCCACTCTGCTTTCTAAAATTGTTATTCCAAGCAATGACTCTTCAAAAACTGTGACAGATCCACCATTTGAATTAGACATTCGAATTAGTTTTCTATGAACTTTGTTACTGGCACCAGTTTTCTACTTTACATCACAGTAATGATCTACTAGGAGTAGGGGCTGTCTCTATTCTATGCCTAGAGGCACAGACAAATCTTTGATTGTTACTTTGCAGAATCTATTTGAGATTGCGCCAAAATGGATCTTGAATATATGGAGAAGATCAACCATTACTGTCAAATAAATAAACTTACACTGCTTTATGACACTGCTGGGATGACCGGCCCATCTCACGATCCTGAGTAAGTTCACTATGCATGTCAGTAACCAGAAGGGCTCTTCCTGTGATGAACAAACTGGACAAAGCTCGCAGTCATAAAAGTTAATTTGCTGACAGAATATATGCAGCAAGAGAGCTGATTGAAACCATAGTGGTAGATGCATGGGGAGGACATCATGTGATAGAGTTTGGGAAGAAAACTGGTTTCAAAGGTGATAGCTCTTTTTCGTAAAGCAACAATAATGCACTTGTTACTAGTAACTGTATTTCGAGTATGTTATGCATCTGCCATAAAATCTCTCAGGAGGTGGGTTGGTTTGCAGCATGTATTTCAGTTTATGATTTATGCTAACTTACGTGCTTTGATTTCTCTTTAGTTTTACAAAGCATTGTTGATGCCTAACCATAAAGGTTGAGTGTATATTAAATGATTGTATACCAATGTGTTTAATGTGTAGTTTATTTTTGAACATCTGTTACAAGAAAAGGGTCTTTTACCTAAGAAGTTTTGTTTTCCCTTTGAGAGACAATTACAGGTGATGGAACATATTTTATTTTTTTAACACAAATATAATGTTTTGCAATTTTTTTGCTTGCCAAATATCATAGATACTCAAGATCTATAGTGTTTCCTTGTGTGATTTCTTTTTATTTTTTTGCTAGTTTGCATGAAGACAAGCCTTATGCTAATAACTGATATCTGTCTTTTAATGTCTTGCATGTTGTAGACACCCAGCACTGTCTACACAGACTTATTCTTAGACCTGACTATAGTCCCAGAATAAATTAAAGAGTATTATCTGTGTCTCAAATGTTAATCAGTTATCTTAATTTTTTTCCCCATGTGGCTCATGTAACTCAAAAAGTAACCCTTACTGCAGTAACGGCCACAGCTTTGGTCGCAGAGCTACATTTTTGTGCTTCGAAAGTCGCAGCATGTGACTGACAGAATTTATATACATTCCAAATCTATACTTTTTCATATTTTTCCATGTGCTCTGCTACATTCACAAATACAGTTCAGCCCATTGTGTGACAGTGGTATGCAGGAAAATCCTAGATAACCTGGGCTATTGCAAGGATACAGTGTAAAGTGTCTGGCTACAGTGATGCCTGCTGCAAACCTCCTTCAGTGCCCCGGTGATGCTCTTTCCCAGTGCTCTGCCTGCTAATGGGATGCGCTGGCCACTGCTGGTACTGAGCTGGCTCCCTAACTCTTTTGTGCTGTGTTTTATCTCATGTAGTTGTCTGAGACATGGTGCAGAGATAGCTGGTGCTGTAGCTGCTTCCACTACAATGTCTGACAGGGTCAGTGCTGAACACAGTGTAAGAAGGCTGAGAGAACCCAGGGTGGCCCAGTCCTGACTGGCTGCAAGCTTTCTTGGGCTAGAAATGCAGTGTGTGTAAAACTAGGCCAGTCCTGCCTAAACCTAGCAAATCTAGGAATTGCTTATTATCTCAGGGTTCATGGTGGATAATTGTTACTGTACATTTGGAACCAACTCGTAACGTTCATTCAGCTAATCCTCAACTCAGCTAATTAACTCATTGGTCATTGACTGCACATTTCTTCGGGCTGCTTAAACAAAAGGGTGAATTTTGGATGCAACATAATAACTGAATGCGTGTAGTATTCAGCATTTAGGTATGGGTTGACTAACAAACCTTTTCCTAAAGAATGATCTTTCTTTCATGTGTTTGTTCGTTTGTTTGTTTGCTGTTTCCTATGTGTAGAGTATATGGCACACTATCATGTGCCTTGTCCTACTGTTTGCCTCCTTAAGGTTTCTTGTTAAGCCTTGCTTACACAATGAGTGCAAGCACTATTCTGCATCTGCATTTCTTTCCACGCAAACATTTCATTAAAGGGAAGTGGAGAATTAAATTGGAATAATGGAAAAAGTGAATTCCTAAAGTCATTCCACTATCTGAGACAAATTATCCCACGGAGAAGCTTATGGTGTTATACCTGGACTGTTTTGTTGTGTGAATCCATCTTGTTGGCTGTGAGGATCTATACATTCCACTGCACTCTGAAGCACTGACTTACCCTGAGGCTCTAACGGTCACTTTAACTTGTTGCAAGTTTGTGCTGCTGCCAAAGGCAGAAATCTAGTTGTTTTATCCTCTGTTGCCTTTTGTGCAAAGGCAGTAGCAGAAACATTAGGGGATTTGCAGCTGCAGGACAGGTTGGATCCGGATAATGACTGATTCATGTAAGTCCAACCATTTCTTATTAGGGCACTGTGGGGGGTTGACCTCAGGCAGCAGCGAAACTCCCAGCCAGCCACTCACTCACTTCCTCCCAGTGGGACAGGGAAGAGAATCAGAAAGCTGAGAGGGAGAAAATCTTGTGGATCGAGATAGACAGTTTAACACCCTGACTTACTGGAAGGCCAGAGTGGGAAAAAAGAAAAAGATCTGTTGCTGTGCAAACACTGTTCAGCAACAGGTAAAACACTGTTATCAACCTTGTTTTAGTCCCAAATCCACAACATACCACCATTCCGGCTGCTCTGAAGAAAGTTAACTTCATCCCAGCCAGATCCACTACAGTTAGTCCTGAGCTGCATCAGACCCCCATTTTGACTCATGGAGTTGCTGTATGGGAAGCAGCACATGCACAGTTGTGCGATGGAGGGATGGAGCAGGAAGGGATCAGGACTTGAGTGTGGAAGGGCATGACAGGGTGGTGGGTTTTTGTTTGGTTGGTTTGGTTTTTTTTTGTTTTTCTTTGTTTTGTTTGCATTTTTTTTGTTTGCTTGTTTGTTGTTTGTGGCTGTCTTTAAATTCATCTCTTGCAAAGCACCAGACACAGTTTTTGCACTTACTAAGTAGTGTACATCACAGGGTATTAGAAGTGTCAAATCTGGTTCCATGAAATCAAGATCTTTCCTTTCTCTATAGTTTTGCAGTGCTGAGATGCGTCCTGGTGTTAGGGCCTCACAACTTTGCTTGTAAAAATACTGACCTCATGCACTCTCTTGCTTTTAAAAATTTAAATAATTTTGCTTTTAAAAAGCAACTAAGCAGGTAAACATACTGTTAGAACTAATAAAGTACATGCATTTGTGTCTAGGGAAGAAACACTTTAATATATTTATACTAAAGAATTATGATAATTAGGAGTTGGATATAATAAAAACACAGAAACAGTTCAATACCTCACAGTATATTATTGTAGATAATAAAACCAAAGTTTAATCTGAGAAGGTTATTAAGTATATATGAGGCAAAATGTAACAATGCTTTAGAAAAGTTTCCTTCATTGCAGGTTCACAATTGTGGTCAAACTAAATGATGTGGAATATGGTACAGGCACTGGTAAAAGTAAGAAAGAAGCAAAAAGAATAGCAGCAAAAAAAACATGGGAAATGATTGAGGAACAGGTGAGTAAATAGCAGGAGTAAGTTTTGGGGTTTTTTTTGGCTAGTAAAGGTTTCAGATGAATGTCTCAAAGTAGACTATTAATAAAATGTCTTTTTTTCTTTAATTTGGAAAAGTTTCCAATTACTTAAGTTATCTTTGTTCTGTCTTATTCAGCACTTTTCTACCTTTTACCGCTGAATTATTTTTCTTATTATTCTGCTACAGGGTTGTTATGTAATATTGTGAGTGTTTCCTCCTCTGTTGTTATTAGGAGGATGAGGAAATGTATTTGCCTTTGTTAAGCTGCCTTGGTGTATCCAGAGGGGACAGTGGTGCTTTTTCATCTAGAAAACTGTTCAGTAATTCAATGTCCTCAAAACATTTGCAGGGCATTGCCCAGTATGTCTGTTGCCACTTCACTAATGAAATTGCTTCCTTTCACTTGCTCTGATTCATCCTTATTTCCTTGTCATTATATTCTTTATGTTTTAGCTGTTTATATACTCTATCCTTGATTAAGTTGAGGTTTGAATTTTGCTCCCCAATTTTCTGACAAGTGTTTTGTGATGGCCATTCTTTTCTTTTTGACTCTCAATGCTTCTTAGCACTTTCTGAGAGAAATCTTTCCTTGCCTGTTTCCATATGGTTTTTATTGTGTCACCATCATTACTTTAACACAATTGCAGCATGTTTGCTAATATATTAATAATGCTGCTTAATCATGAGACAGCTGAAAAGTCCTGCTTTCTCCTCTTGTACATGCACAGGAGCATTTGCAACCTTTGCTAAATGGCAGTATCAGCAGCATCCTGACGCTATCCCTTCTTCACAGCTCATACCCTGTCTTTTCCTAAAAGAAGTGGGATGAGACATGGTGAGAGGTTGTTAAAGACATAGGTGTAGTACTTGCAAAACTGGATTTACATTTCTTTCAAAAAGTAATATTTTAGGGTTAGGATGTTTGTCCTTGGCCATGAGGGACTCCATGAATGCCAACCTGGGATTTCTTACAAGTATTTTGAAAAGCTGAGAAACCTTGCAGCTATATTAGATCTTGGGCATTGTTTATCTTAATGTATTTATTAAGCTTAAGTTTTTAAGTTACCTATTTTGTTTGCAGAGTCCTTCAAGTATGGGTGCTGCAGAATTAGCAACAACTCAAACAAACTCATCACCTGAACCAGACAGAGACTATGTCAGTCTACTGAATATTTTTGCACAAAAGGCACGGCTACAAGTTGATTATCCTGAAAGAACTCGTACTGGAGATGCCCATGCTCCTATGTAAGATGTACTTTGTCTTCCTACTTCCTTCTAAGACTTTGTTGTATTTACTAATGCTACCATTAGTTGTCTTCAGTCACGTTAGATGAATCTTTAGAAATACAAATTTAGAGCTGGTCTGGAGAGAATCCAATGGAGGGCCATTAGGGTGGTTAAGGGGTTGGAGGATATGCCATAGGAGGAGAGGCTAAGAGGACCGAGTTTGTTTAGCTGGGAGAAGAGATCGCATGATGATAAAATGGTAGTCAGTGCTGAAAATCATCAATTTTCTTGGTTGTAGCTCTGGCAACTTTGTGGACCTCTGGGTGTGTGTCTTGGAGACTTCTAGGAATCAAGTGCCAAGGAGACCATTTGTGTCTCTTTGTGTATGTATTGCAGTCAGTGAGTTGTAGAAATGTTCCAGTTAATAACAGGTGCAGGATGACAAAGAATATCTACATATTTTAAGTCTCTTGATAATATCTGCTGGAAAATTTGTCCTCTCTTATCCTGCAAAATCAGCCATTTTAAAACCTAAACTGCAGATATTTTGTGACAGAGTGTGTATGATATATTGCTTTGAGAAGCTCAGCCTTAAAAAGTGCTAAATAGTTACTCTCTAAAAGTGAGTTATCTTAAAGGTACATCAAATTAATTGTCTACCATTATTACTTAGATTAAATGTATATTGGGAATACTGTCCTGAAGATGTATATTTCAGATGTCCATTTTATGATGTCAATTGACTATAGTGTTTAAAATCATTGAATTAAGACTTGCCATATGGGATATAAAACTTGATTCCCTGTTGTATTTGACAGATTTTTTTGTAGCTGTACAATTAGTGGTCAGTTGTATGGAAGGGGCACTGGATCTACTGTAGCTGCTGCAAAACAAGCTGCTGCCAAACAAGCATTTGAGAAGGTAAATAAGAAAGGCTCTCTAACAGTATGTACTATATTTACTCTTAAGACAGAAGTTTAAATCTTGTATCTTTAATCTTGGAACAGATATCCTCATTGTATTTAAAAGCATATTCCATGGATTCCACTAAAGACGGAAACCACCTATATTTTGGTGTGTTGTTTGGGCTGCAGGATTCTGTTGGTAGAATTTGTTGTGTTTATCTATTCAATTGCTGGATTAAAAAAAATCTAGCAGTTGATATCTCTCTGTGTTTCCGAATATGGTCTCATTTGTTGGCATTCAAGGATCCATACGTATTAAAAATTTCTAAATCCCGACTAATATACCAGTTGTCTTCTGTGTGAAGTGCTGTTGAGCTGTCTGGCTATGAACATAAGTCTCTTACTGCCTTCTATTGGATCACAAATCTATTGTGAAATGTGAGAAAAGCAAAAGCAGGAGTCAGAATCAACAGGATTTGTCTTCCATGGTGTTCCAAGGCAGACTGTAGCGAATCATCTGCTGACATCATCCTCTGGAGAGCAGAGCTGTTGTCTTCATGCTGGCAATTGTTATTTCCACATGTGCAAAAAATTTATCAGAATTCCCATACTGATTCAAACCCACTTCTGAAATGCACAGAATATATGAACTAACTTAGATGAAGTGTATTTTAACTTGAAGGATGGCAGCGTGGGGGAGGGAAGAAATCTATTTTAAGTACTTTTAAAATTATTTGGCAGTTACTGTGAATTTTCAATGCTTCTTTTATTGTTGTTTTTAAGTTAACCATGTAATTAATGGCCCGTTATATTTCTAGGATTCTTTCTTAATATTTTCATGTGTTGCAAGCTCATGGACCTTTGCATTTAGATCAAAGTCTGAAATTTACTACCTCAAGCAGAACTCCTGTACCAATTAGTGTAAATTTGGGGTGGGTTGCTTTGGTTTGGTTTTAATTTTTATTAATTCTCAGTGATGTCTGTGTAACAAACAAAATGTAACTGGCAAAAAGTACTAAAAGTCCAATACTCCAAAGTTAAAAAAATAGGGGTTTTTTGTTGGCTATCATTGCAACATAAAGCCTGTGTTTTTGTTTCCATGATACCATGATGGAAAACCATGAAACAAACAAAAAAAATGGTTTGTTTACTTTTTGTCAGGTTATGGTCTGTATCAATTGTAGGTGTTGCTTTTAATGTTACTTTTATGCTCTTGGGACATGGGTGGAGGGAGGAGGCGAAAGAACCTCTAATAAGTGTTTGGAATATTTTTTTTTTTTGTAGTCAACCTCAACTTAGTTTTACAGATTTTGCAGTGTTTTCATGCTGAAGACATTGAATGGCAATTTGTGCTCAGATTTTCAGTTCTGCTGTTTACATTTATCAAAGCCTATGTATATCACATAGGCATATGCATATGCAACAAACAATGAAAACATTTGCTTTTCATCTTCTACTCTTGCCCTGGTTTTAAACAGAATCCAGACTCTACTTCTGTAAATGTTTCTGTATAGTATGATCACTGTGACAGAGCCCTGTGTTTCCTTTCTCTGGGTGGAAATTGGGTAGATGCCTTTCTTCTTCAGGGCTTTGAATGTTCAGTGCAGTTAAAAACTTCCACTAAGGACCTTGTAATCTTCCCTCTCCCCTCTCTGAATGGCAACTTTTGCACTAGGGATTTTCTTATGTGATTTTGTTAGACATTTTTGGCTTTTCTTTTTTTCAGGTGCAAACTGAAAAATCTAGTGGCAATTCAACGTTTAGCAAACATAGTAATTCCTCTCAAGTGCCAACTCAGTCTGATTCGAAGTAAGTTGGGTTCACTGCTGATGTGATAACAAAATGTATTTACTAATCATCTTAGAGGGTTGTGTGATCTAATTCCAAATAAAATATGTCATAGTTTGTTTTATTGCAGTATAAAGCCATTTAATTTGAATTTATATTCCTTAAACTTCAGAGCAAAATTTGTTGTACTCATGCAATTTTATTTGAGTCTATATGGGTGAACTTATAATAATTTTAGAGCTTTCTGATATATTTATATTTTGCCATGAGTAGTTCTTTCAGAATAATTTTTACTATGATGTAAATGTATTAACCTACCTCATTCAGTAGCATTATTTCATGCCATTTTAACACTCATTTTCCTATTGTGACACAATTGTGAACTCAGTATAATTCAATTTCAGTACTTTCCTGTGCTCCATATTGTTCTTTCTGCTCTCTCTTTTTTTTTTTTTTTAATCCTAATTTCCACCAAAGGGAAAAATTTGCTTAGTGAGAGAAAATGAACATACATAAAGTTTCATTTGTGATTTGGGAACCTTATGTCAAGCCTTTTGTGTCCAGTGGTTTGGCTGCAGTGCCACTACCCCTTCTTTTATGTTCTTTGTACATATCTGATTGCTTTATAGTTGCACAATGTTAGAGGTGGCTATACTACCTTGAAATAAATATCTTTAACCTATTTAAGGATATAATAGAATATATAACTTATGGATATTTAGATGTCATAGAATCGTATAACATAGAAATATAGGAGTATATTACAAAGTGGTGTTACTTCTGTAGGTTTCCAGTAGGAAGTTTAGTAGTTTAAATCAGTCATGATTGTTAATACTTTCTTAGGTTTCGCTTTTAAAAAACTATGTAAATGTTGGCACTACTTCTTTTCTTGTGGCAATTTTATTTATGATTGTGTTACTTTCGCCTAAAAATAGTCCACTATTTTTCAATATAGCAGTATTTCCTTTGAAGACTCAGCTCCAATGTTGGTAGAAAAAATGAAAGACATGGCAGTATGTGAAAAGCTTTCACCTTCTCAGGTATAGTATGAAAATGGTCTTCCTCCTAATTACATTTTAGACCTTGAATAGGGTAAGCTTCTTGTCAGAATGTAACATCAGTTTGTTCTTTTATCCTTTAATCACTAGAAAACACACGTGCATTTTTCCTAAAAATATTCAGTAAATTCTTACTGTTAATCGTTAGTCATTTGCTTCTGTTCTGTGGACTCAGTTCATGTACTGTTGAAGAAATGGGCAGTATTCCCAAGAAAGAGGATCAAACTAAGCTCAATTTTTTCTGTGGGAACAATGATAAAGTTACACATAGCATACGTGAAAAAATTAAAGCTGAGATACGGCTTCATTCTTATTACATTGTTTACCTAAGGTATGAACATATTTATAGGCAATTCCTAGATACATTCTCAGACACGTTTTAAGCCAACTGTAGTGAAAATATTCAGGTTATCTCAGTCAGGCTTTTTTCTCTTTCCATGTAGAGAAATGCACAGAGTTCTGCCCTGAAGTCCAAAAGGTATGTGTTTATTTCTAGGTATGTGTTTATTGCTATTTCCTGTAAACTATATTTCAGATCGTTTTGGTGTTTCTGTATTTAGTAAAGAAATGTCACTATTGGGAGGTACATTTCTTTTCTTGTCACATGTTAGAAAAATGGCTCATTATAAATAATTTTGCTTTTATCCTTTTTACAGAAAATTGGCAGCTAATTTTCCTAATGTAAGAAAAGAGGAAGAGAACAAAAATATGTCAGATTCAGATGAAAGTTTGCCAGATGTGGACACGAATACCAGAAAAGGGAATGGAAATCCACACACTGTTGATAAAACGTAAGAAGGATTTGTTTTTTTAATAATATTTGTATGGCAATTACAGTATGTAAGGATCTAGATTTGTTCCTTTATTTATGATACAAGGAGGGAAAATACTGCTGTAAAAAGAAATTTCAAAGAAAATTGGTGTTTGCTTTCTTTTTTTCCCCCCGGAAATTTCAAATCTAGCATAGAAACTGGCATGCAATGGTATTTAATACTCATGGCCAAACATCATTTGTATGAATATGTGAGAGAGTAATCACCCAACATGCTTGCAAGGGTCAGTTTCCCTTGTTTGTTTAATCTTCAAGACTATGATTTAGACCTGTAGATTTGTCAAGTGATTCCTGTAGAATTATATTTCAGCAGATGTGTTGTATCTGTCAGGATTATTTTTACATCCCGTAAATTTAATATTAAACATGATTGTGCTTTTTTTTTTTTTAAGATTTCTTAATAATTTTAAAAATATAGAGCCTATTGGTGAAGGTGGTTTTGGGAATGTTTTCAAGGCAAGATCAAAGTGCGATAAGACAACCTATGCAATCAAACGAGTTGAATTCACAAAGTACGTACTGTATATTTACTTCTGCTTTTTATTTTAGGACAACCTTAATCAATATTTTAATACTTTATTTTCTCTCTTTAACAATCCTAGAAGCATTTAAGCAATTTTCATTATTAATTGTCTATTCTTTCTGGAAAACTGTTTTCTTTATTTCTAAGTGACGCTGAAAATGGCATACAACTTTGTTAATTTTTGCATGTACTGGGATAATTTCTGCTGGAGCTGTAAAAATGTAGATTGGTTAAGTTCTACTTTCCCTGGAAGCACTAGTGCTTTGGTTGTTAATACTGAAAATGTGTTTGAAGAAAACTTGCTGGTTAGTAAAACATTGAAAAGAGCACTGTTTCTTTTGATATGTTACATGGAAAATTTACATATCAGTAATGCATAACAACTACAACTAAGGAAAATAGAGAAAAATCCAAGTAATAAGTTTTGTGGTTTGTAGTTGGAAAATGTTTTATATACTATCCATGTAGTCATTATTCTCACACTGTGTTACTTGTTCTTTATAAATCTCAACAGAGAATGATGATCTTAATCTTTTAAGGTAATTATTTGTAACTCGTATCTAGTGGAATATTTTATCAGCAGCTGAAAAAATTAATTTCTTTTAGGCAATCCATTGAAAAAAATTTCAAGTTGTCGGAGATACTTGTCCTTAAATTGTGTGATGTGTACACTTCCCTTCAGATTGTTGTGTTCTTTGCAAATATATGTTATTTTAATTGGTATTTCAATCCTGAGAACTATACTAAAAACATTCAACTGATTCCTCAAGTGACGACTGCTGGTCTGCTTATGGGTTTGAACTTGCTTCACTAGGTAATGTTACAACAACAACTGCAGGGCTAATTTAGTAATAGTTCTTCATGAGTATTTATACTGACTTCTCTCTATATAGACAAACTTCATAGAGGTAAAAACAAAACATAGTTGTTTGCTTTATTGTGTTTGGTGACCTAATGTTATTATGCATTGCAACCATCTGCTTTTTTTGAGTGGAGATTTAATTTCTAATATGGTGAAAACATTTTTGTACTTTGAATAACTGAGCAGATAAAAGAAAACCCACTGAATTCCGCACGATGATTTTGAACTTTGAACCTTTATGAAGGCAAATAATATACTTTGTTTCTAAATTAATGTAAAACTGTATACTGCTACTTGATATCCTGTCTTTTATTTAACTTAGTATTACATTGTAATAGGGAAATGCCTTTTTTTTTTTATTCCTTCCTCTCCTCCTAATAGGAATGTAAGGCGTGAAGCAGAAGGACTTGCAAAACTTAAACATGAAAACATAGTGCGGTATCATTGCAGCTGGAAAGGGTACGACCATATAACTAATCGAGATGCAAGGTAACAACAAAATACTAGTTTGAACTTACACACTTGTTTGTCATAGTGAATTTTATTTTGTAAAAAGAAAGGCTGATGATTGGTTACCAGTTATTGTACAAGTATAAATGCATACACATGCTTATATACTTACTGCTAGCAAAAAAGGCACAGTACTTTCCAGCAGCAGGCTGTATAGAATTAAGTGTATTTATACCTTCTTTTGCTTGATTAAAAAGATACATTATGTAATGTTATATTTCTCTTCTCTCTTAACATATGGAACTTAGTGAATATATAGAGGAGAGTAAGAATGCAGAACTCAAAATTTGGGGCAAGAATTAACAACAGAAACTAAAGACTCTTTGACAGCTGGCTGCCTAATTCCCGATCAGAAGCTTCCTTTTTGTAATAAGTACTGGTCAGACAATAGCTCTTATAGATTTAATTATTTCTCTTAAGTTAGCATTTTAACCATGATGCCTGAAACAGTTTTGGTTGTTTAGAACAGAAATACAAAATGAAGTGCTTTTTAATTTAGAGGTAGTCTTTCAACACTAAGACTTCTGGGAAGACTGCGGTGAGAGTTTTACTTGTAAGTTAGACTATTAACTTTACAAAGCTTCTGCGGGAAGCTTTTTTTTCACTAGCTGTAAATTCATACCCTTCAGATGGGTTGCCTGGAGCATTTACCTGGAGCCATAAAATATTAATGCATTCAAAACTATTATTGGCATAATATCTCTCCAGTGTGCCCAGTAAATGAGAAATAAAATGGAGGAAAAAAGTCTCATGTTAAAACCCAATCATTAATATGTTGGAGCTTCAATATCATGTATGTATTTTACAGTGAACAGTTATTGTGTCGAAGACAGAAAAAAAATAGTACTCAGAGCTGAGGTCCCAGCCTGGAATTAGTACCCTGACCTCCAGGCTAGAGAGTCCCAAGCCACCTAATGTTTGTTCTTTCAGTGCCTCAGGCAGCTTTATTCCAGGGTACTCAGACCACACAGTGCACATAGGAAAAAGTGGTGCCTGCTCCTCCTCATATTGTCCTTCCCCTTATCAGCTCCAGCCTATCCCATGCGCTGATAGTGAGGGAACTCTTCTGAAAAGTGTGAGGCTGTCAGGGGGGTGAATATCTTTCATCTAGATTTCCAGCTCTCAGAAGGGTTTCTCTAGCAGTGTGATGTCAAAGATGGTCCCTGCACTATGTTCTTGACAGGACAGTCAGAAAGAATGTGATCATTCTGGGTAGGAGAGGAAGGCTGGCTGATGCTGTGTTTGTTGTGTGGAATAGAGAATATCTACCAGGGACTTGCAGCAGTTCCTACACGGCAAGATGGGAGCCAAGGACAGAGCTATTTCTTCCTGTATAAGACATGCCTCTAGGTATGAGTGAAATAGAACTTGGGCACTCTGAAAACTTTCAGTGTGAACTAGGAAGCAAGCAAAACATTAGGAGTATTCCAGGGGTAGGTAGGAACTGAGCAGGGATTCTTTGGTTTGCAGTCCTATTTATTTATATCTAATCCATATTGGTCTAGGGTCTTTTTTAAAATTAAGGGATTTGCAGATTTTGTTTTGGGGAACTCCAAAAATAATTATTAGCAAAAATGCTTTTTTAAAGAAGAGGAATCTGAAGATCACTGATGACTTAGCAACAATTGTATCTTGCCAATTTTAATATGGTATGTAATTTTCTTTTGAAGCCTGAATTCCGACAAAACAACTCGCTGTCTTTTCATCCAAATGGAATTCTGTGAACGAGGGACCTTGGAAAAGTGGATTGGAGAGAATAGAGAAGACCAAAACTATCATGAAATGGCACAAAACAAATTTTTACAAATAATGAAAGGAGTGGAATATATTCATTCTGAAAAGTTAATTCATCGAGACCTCAAGGTAAGTAGGATAGGTAATTAAAAAAAACAAACCTGAAAAAAGAAGATACTACTTATTGGAATTTTAAAAAAATGTTAAATTGTTGTAGTCTTTGTTCACTCTGTTATGTACCCTAGCAGTGTGCCTCTTCAGATATCGCTAGTGATTAATTCTTTTTCAGCAACTGGCTGAACCTCAGCCTAAAATCAAAAGGTAAACTGGAGGATCTTGGAATGCAATAGTTCAAAAAATCAGTAGTCCTCAGTTAACAGGCACTTTCAGTGTGTTACTGGGTCACAAGACTGCCTATGGGAAAAAGAAAAGTTGAGTCTAGGAAGTTTGCTCTTGCCATTATTTAAAGGGATAGTTTATCTGTGCTGTGCTTGGTAACAACATACTCTAGTTGCTTTTGTCCCATGTATGCATATAAATATTTGAATGCTACAATTCTGGATAGAATTTCATTCTCTACATGTGCACCTTCATAAGAAGATTTTATTTCAATATGAAGATTATAAGGACAAAGCCCTCAGGGCTTTAATATGGCATATCCCAGAATCAAAGCTGCAGGATAGGTTCAAGCTGATATTAACATCATTTGTGCCTGTTAGGAACAGAGCCTTTAAATAGTGTAGCCAGGTATAGGTACTGTATTAAATATGTCTGGGCATGGTTGGACTTGAATAGAACAACTGCATCGGGCATTCTTCACACAAAGATCTCTTCCTGTTGAATATTAAGTATCTCCTGGCCTCACGGTCCATTGGAGCCTCTTTGAGTAAAAGATAGCATGAGGCTATTTGGTTTTGTTTTAAAAACATTCTGAAGTGTAGTTTCTTGATCTTCTTTGGGAAACTTCATTGAAACATATACAGGTCTATTTTTAGTTGTTTATCACTTTGTGTTCTAGTTTAGGCTGAGATGGAGTTAATATTTTTTCAGTAGGTGGTACGGTGCTGTGTTCTGGATTCAGGATGAGAATAATGTTGATAACCTAGCCAGGACAGGTGACCCAAACTGCCCAACAGGATATTCCACACCATAGAATGTCATGCCAAGTATATAAACTGGGGGAGGTGGAAGAGGGGCCTATCTGGGTTTGTGGAAGGGGTCTGGCATCAGTCAACAGGTAGTGAGCAATTGCATTGTGCATCACTTGTTTTTCCTTGTTTTATTTTGGCTTTGTATCCTTTTATTATCATTATTATTATTTACTATTATTATTATTATATTTTACTTTTGTTTCCATAATTAAACTGTTCTTAACACAGTCTAAAAGCTTTACTTTTGATTCTCTCCCTCATTTCACTGTGGGCATGGGGAGTGAGTGAGCGGCTGCATGATGCTTAGTTGCCAACTGGGTGTAAGCCATGACACTTTGTCAAATTTAAAAAAGGAAAGTTCAATGGAAATGCAAAAGTGATACTCCGAGACACCTGTAGTAAGCCTTAACTCTGCAATTGACTTAGTACAGATGATCCTGCTGTGCCTAGGAGAAACTCTGCTTTGAGTGGAATTCCATTAGTGAACCTAAATACTTTTCCAAGTCTATCAAATCCCAGGGCTAGGACTGAAGACTGAAAAGCACTTCTGGATATAAAATATTATATGCACAATGTATTTGAAGAGTATTAAATGAGACTTATGACTGAGCTAGTAGAAAAAAAGGTGCAGGCACTCCAGAATATACTACTTGAAATTTAGTTTGTGTTTTTGAAACTTAATTTAGCTTTGTTCTGTTTCCCACCCCATCAGTTTCTTAATGCTGTTTTCTGTGAACAATTATCAAATTTTGTGGGGAACACTTCTGTGGCTGATTATGCTTGATGATAAACCTTGCTCTTTTTTTTTTTAATATTAATATATATAGCCTCCGAATATATTCATATCACATGATGATAAAATAAAAATAGGTGACTTCGGCCTTGTGACTTCTATGGCATATGAGACTCTGACTGAGAACATAGGAACAAAATCATATATGGCACCAGAACAGGTAATTATCCTGCTATATTAGTGTCTCTGTAATTAGATTTGAACTATAAAGTCAGCACTGGATGTTCTCAATCCTAATCTCAGTATTAAAGCAAGTTGCCTAAAGTTCCCTGTTATGACTGTTTATGAGGATAACTGTATTCTGGAGAACGCTGTGTGCCAGTGTGGTAGTGTTTTTTCTCTCTGGGCTAACCTGCAGTCTGACACTGCATGCTGTAAGGAATGCTTTTGCAAAACCAGGCTGCCAGGCATATGTACTTAAATTTTAATTTAGGACCTCTGTTAAGGTCCTAAATTTGAGTGGCATTTGAGTCCTTCTATTTGTTTCATTATTTGTCACAGGGCAATATTGGCATGCTTTATCTATATAGGTTTGTAGAAGTAAATTTCTGTGTGTTTAAGGCAATACAATAGTCACTACTTAGGTCTGCGGCAGAAAGAGTTCATGACTTATAAGGATATTGAGTAGGGCCAGTCCTGTAGCATTGGGGTGGAAATTTCTGCTGACTTCAAATTTTGCTTTAGGAAGTGCTGCTGTACAGTTGGATTTGATGCCCTTATTGTTCTGGTTCTTATCTTTCTAGTTCGGGGACAGATATGGAAAGGAAGTAGATATTTATGCACTGGGACTAATTTGGTTTGAAATTCTTTCAGCATTCACTAATCATGAGAAAAATGAGGTATGTAATCTTTAAATTTAAAAAAGAACTCTGATATTGTTTTGCCTTGCTGCTGATCACATGTTGATTGCACACTAGAAGGAATCTGTGTATCTAGAGTAGAGTCTCCATTTACATTTTCCTCCTTAATTCATTTCCATAAGGCCTGTAAGTCCTCACACCTTAGTTGAAATATCATAACTGAAGAAATATTACAGTTTATTTCTCCTGTGTCCTGTTACCTATACATTAAAGCCTGAGCATGCTAAAGATTAATGTCAAGCTAAAAAATATATTGTTTCTTATAAATCTGTTTGATCAGAAAATTGAAGCAGATGTTTTCTAATTTTAGAAAATAAAAATTATGAATAGGTGAGTTTTGTCTCTGCCTACGGTGGATTGGGGAGAAAGGGGGAGACCTCCAGGCCTTATGCTGCTTGCCCCATTACCTGTGAGGTGAATGCTCTTCCCCCCACCCCTGCACGTGGCCCGGTGACCCCGCAAGGAGCACACACAGACCACCAGGGAGGGATGGACGAAAGAGGAAGTTTATTGAGGGATGGGGGCTTATATAGCCCTTGGGAGGGTCAAAGGGGACCAATCACAAGTTCAGGGTCACACAGAAAAAACCATCAGGTAAGGGGTCAACAACCAATAAGGAAGGGGTTAACAAAGGACCAATGGGAGCACCTTGGGACATCTTCCCAGGACACCTTGTGTGGGAGACAATAGCTTCACAGGGGGTGTCTGGAAGAGGGAGACAGTGACACTGCAGAAAATACACAAACATGTTGAAACATGTTTAAACTACAGTAAAAACTTCTGTTTCCATAAGGTTAGAGCTGTTTTCCTCACCAGCCCATCGACAGGACTTTTTCCATCCTGCATACGGCAAATCCATTGCCACATCTGCCATGCTTGTCTTCACTGCACAGTGGAGTAAGAACAAGGTTTCCGCCAAGGCAAAACACTTGCAGTTTTCCAAAATGAAAATGAAAGTGGAATACGTAGCTTTAAGTGAAAAAGATGTTACTTCAAAAAGAAACTCAGTGTTACTTAAGCTTTTTTTTGAAAAGGTATCTTTTATGCATCTCGAGTTTTTTATAGCTACTTTGTACATTATTATTGTAACAGCTCATATACACAAACCTAAATGTTTGTAGGACAGTGATGTAGCTGCTGGGTGTCTTGTCTAATGTAACAGTGGCCAGAACAAGAAGGCTTTGAACACTGTTAGCCGGATCCTTTTACCAGTATAAGAAAATCATACCAGTGTGTCTTTTCAAGCTGGTTCTATTCAGCCACTTGCAGTACTTCCTAAGATACTTCGTTCCTGCTCACAGCTGACTGCAAATGCATGCACAGTCCCATGGTATTTACAGTTGGAAAGGCATTATTTCCCTAAGTATTGAAATCTTGAGCTCTGTAGGCAGGTACATGGATGGAAAGTCTAGGATGGTCTTCAGCTGCTCCACTAGCTTAGAAAGTAATTTCACTTAATGGAGCATGATAAACTTCCAGCTGGCAAGCCCTGCTGAAAGAACATCATGTTGATGATTATTTTGTGTTGAGTAACTGGTTCAGCTGATGATCCCCAGCAGGTAGGGTCACAGGCTTAAAGCTACTGCTGAAGAGTAGGGAAAAAGCTTGGAAATTTATGGGAGCTGTTGTTTTACTGGATACTGGTTGTAAGGGCTTGGTACACCAGGGTCACAGGATCCACAAGTCTAGCTAATGATTCAGGATGCACAGCTAAGTGTAAGAACAAAACTGTCATCTTCAGGCAGACATTACACTAGTTAACAACAAATGAATTAAGTAGACTGCTCTTTTTACCCAGGAAGCTACATCATGGCAGAAACACAAAATGGGTTAGGTTGGTATGGACCATTACAGCTCACCTAGTACAACCTATCTGCTCAAGCAGGGTCTCCTAGAGCATGTTACTCGGGCTTATGTCCACAATATCTCCAGTGAGGGAGACTCCATAACCTCTCTGAGCAATCTGTTTCGGTGCTTGGTCACCTGCACAGTAAAGAAATTCTTTCCTCATGTTCATGTGGGATTTCCTGTGCATCAGTTTCTGTCTGCTGCCTCTTGCCCTATTGCTCAGCACCACTGAGAAGAACCTGGCTCCATTCTCTTGACACCCTCCCTTTAGATACTTATAGACATTGAGGAGATCCCCTCTCAGTCATCTCTTCTGGAGGCTGAACAGGCACAGGTGCCTCCATCTTTCCTAGAGTCCCTAATTATGTTACCCTCCATGGGAACCCACTCCAGAGCTCCCTATCTCCTTTGTACTGAGGATGTCCGAACTGTACAAGGCACTCCAGATATGCCTCACCAGGGCTGAATAGAGGGGAAGGCACCTCCCCTGACCTGCTGGCAATGCTCTTCCTAATGCACCCCAGGATACCATTGGCCTTCTTGGCCACCAGGGCACACTGCTGGCTCAGGGACAGCTTGTTGTCCACCAGGACCCCCAGGTCCTCTGCAGAGCTGCTTTCCAGCAGGTCAGCACCCAGCCTGTACTGGTGTCTGGGGTTATTCCTCCCAGGCGCAGGACCCTGAATTTGCCTTTGTTGAATTTTAGAAGGTTCTTCCCTGCCCATCTCCCCAACATGTCAAGGTCTTTCTGAAGGGCTGCATAGCCCTCTGGGGTATGGGCCAGTCCCTCCAGCTTTGTGTCATCAGCAACCTTGCTGAGGAGACATCTGCCCCTCCATCCCACTCACTGACGAACAAGTTAAACAATACTGGACCCAGTATCCACCAGTATCCCAGTCCCTGTAGTCCCCCAACTAGACCCTCTGCCACTGTGCACTATACTGTGGAATCTGCCGTTTAGCCAGTTCTCAATCCACCTCACCATCCACTCATCCAGCCTGCAATTCCTGAGCTTGCCTCTGAGGATGTTGTGACAGACAGTGTCGTACAGGAAAAAAAAAAAGTTACCCAAACCCGGTTTCTAAAGCATGTAATTAGAAATCCTCTACATGTTAGCTGCTTTGAACTCCACATGGCATTTTTGGCAGTGACATACTTCGGTTCAGTGTGTGGTACTGAACATGGAAGCACACCTGCTTGGCTTGCAAACAGTAACATCCAAAGTAGGAAATTCAGTTGTCTTGCTTTTTTCTTTTCTTTCAATGTGGTTAGATGATATAAATCCACTACTTTTAAATTAAGGAAAGAAGGATAACGGTTCTGAAATAGAGAGGACTGCTGAAACAAACACATCATTGTAGAGTGCAAAGCTTTTAAGCTTAGAAAGGAACAATAGTTGATGAAAAGGCCATAAAACCAAAACAATGTACAACTAAATGGAAGAAACTTTCAAACTGTTTACAGTTACTTTTTGAAGACTTACTTTCTTGTAGATTTTTGGTTTCCTAATTACTTCAGTAAACTATATGGGTCATAAGGTAGACATGCAAAGTATAATAAAAGAAAGCATACTGAAACTGTTCTCTTTTATGAATTTCAGGTATGGCCTTCTGTTAGACAAGGTCATTTTCCAGGGAGTTTCACCAACCAATTTCCACTGAAGGTATGGGATTTTAATAAATTATTTTAAATAGTTTATTTACTAAAAAAAAAAATACACCTATTGACATTTAAATTTTTTTGCAGGCATCCATAATCAAAAAGATGCTTTCAAGAGACCCTTTCAAGAGACCCTCTGCAACTCAAATACTTGATCTTGTTAAGTCTCTTGATAAAGAGAAGTCGCTTAAAAATAATACTCATTAAATGCCCTTTTAAAAGGCTTTCAGACTCTGTTTAAATCCAGAGTTTGATGGATTTATTGAAACTGACAAAATAACAACAGATGTAAGAAGCAACAGCAAGACTTGGGGTATGTCTTTTCCTTGGTGCTTTGCCTTCCTGCCATTGTGGAGTCTTGTCAGCTTGAAGGCCACATCACCATTCATGTCCATTGGCCGCAGACCAGGACTGGATACTTCTGCAAGAAATCACTTGCAATTTTTACCTGAAAATACAGGTTGAGATGAGCTGAACTGTATTCCACAAATAAGTAAAAGAACCCAGTCCTTTTCTGTTAGAAGATTATGTTGATGGGCTTAAGTGCTATCTGGCCTATGGCAAATCACTGGATGTGGTGCTGCATCCATTATTCTTTGAGGTTATCTATTGCTTTCCATGGAAGAAGTGCTGTCTTCTGGTATGTGACTCAAACCTTTCTGATTTTTCAGTGATACTTTTAATAATTACTGGAATGCTCCCATTAAAACCAAGACTAGTTTTGGTAGAAAAGATACGAGGAATAGGCATGGGTTATTCTTCAATGAATTTCAGTACTGTAAGGTGAGCTTTCTTATGTGTTTACACCTGTTGATGACCTAGCACCTTCAATGCTCTAAAATTTAATAAGATATACTTTTAAAGTAGGCATTTATCAAGAATTTAAATGTTAAATGTTCAGCTTCTAGGAAATCTACTTGAGAAAGTTCTAAACTTCTAGAAAACTTGGGGTTTGATGGTTTGGGGTTTTTTTTGAAAGGAACACTTAAGGTGCTATTAATATAGCAAAATTCTCCAGAGTTTCCTCAGTAGTAATCACTTGAAGTCCTATGCTGAGAGCACTTTTAACATTTCTTCCTATGCTGCTCGGTTTTAATCCCTGTTATAATACCAAGGAATGCCTAACCCTTAATTCAGGGTACTGAATACCTCTGGTGGTTCCACTATCAGCCCCACAAAAGTTAACAGCAGTTTTTCTGTTCCTCTTCAGTTATATACTTCAAAGAGTTCAGAGTTGCCTGAACTCAAAGTATTGTGTGTGCGGTGGTGGGGAGCAGGGCAAAAAGACAGGTATGTTAGTCCTTCCAACTGCTTGCCTTTGAGCTGTATCTTGTCAAACTGTTCATTGCTGTAGAGCCAACGTTACCCTATAAGGGCAAATGAAGAGAGATTTCTAATCAGAAAAATAGGTAAAGTACTGTATGCCTTTCCTGAAATGTTAAATGGGGTCAAAGTGGGTGATTGCTTAAAAGGAATAATGTAAATTAATGCATGCTAATTTTTATAATCTTATGCAAATTATTGCTGTTCTACTGTGAGTATTTGTTGCTAAATAAGAATCTGATTGTACATACTTTTGTAAGGCCTTAAGCAGTTCTGGGGTTTTTTCTCATTATCATGAATCATACACATAGAATCACAGAATGGTTTGGGTTGGAAGGGACCTTAAAGATCATCCAGTTCCAACCCCGCTGCCCTGGGCAGGGACACCTTTCACTAGACCAGATTGCCTTGAACACTGCCAGGGATGGGGCATCCACAGGTTCTCTGGGCTACTTATTCCAGTGCCTCACCACCCTCACAGTAAAGAATTTCTTCCTAATATCTAATCTAAACCTGCACACTTCATTCCCTTCCTCGTCCTACACGACATGCCCTTGTAAAACGTCCCTCTCCAGCTCTCTTGTAGGCTCCCCTAGACAGCTGCTGTGAGGTCTTCCCAGAGCCTTCCCATGGGCTAATTAGTATTTCTTTGCAGTGGTCAAGTTCTGTAAGAAATTATATCCTCACCCACATATATTACTAGTTACTACCCACTTTCTCTTCTCTTTTACCCATTGAGATATAATTACCATATATGACTTTACTAGATCTTAAAGGTCTTTTCTAAACTAAACAATTCTATGATTCTATAAAACTATTCATAATATGAGGGTGGATATGTGACAATCTTTTGTCTGAATATCCTTTACAGCTTTTGGACAGAGCACCAATTATCTTCTTCCTGTTACATAATATCAAGCTTGTCCCAGTAGTTTTGATACATTTTTCCTCAAGAGTATTTGTATACTTCAGCAGTACCTTTTTATTAATGGCTACTTAGAGTAGCAACTGCTGTTTCCTAAAAATAAAAGTTCTACTAAAATGCATTTTTATATTAAGAAAATGAAAACCCAACATCATGATCTAGTTTTCTTTAGTTATGTAAAATATGCACCTTCACATACAACAGAATATTGGTTCAAATAACATCACTGTAATATTTCATAAACTTCTTTTTTCCCATCAAGTTTAAGATAGTAAGCAAAAAGAATCTGATATTTAGTCATATCCGTTAAGATGAAAAACCCTGTTCAACACATTATACAACAAAGGGACTAGCCAATATTTATTCCCTTACTTAGACTTGAATTTTATTATTGGCTGATCTTGTTCAGTTGGGCGGGGCATAAAAAAAGATGTGGAAGGCTTAACCTACCTCTCAATTATGGTAGTTCAATTATAAATACAAAGTTTTAATTCCCGTTAAACTGTGCATCAAACAGAAAATGTGAGTTTAACCTGTCAACCTAACTCTTCTTCTGTGTACTTTGGTGTGAATTCTTGAGTATAGCACAGCTCCAAACCTTCTAAAAGATATTATGGATTATACATACTTATTTAGTACTCCTTCCTTTAGAAAGGTTTTAGTCATGATCTGCAGCACTGTCTCCGGGACAGTTTGAAGATAAATCTTCAGAGTCTAAAGGATAAGCAGAGAGAAAGTGAGTAATTCCAGCTCAGAGGAGAAAAAATGATTGCTAGAAATATTTGTAGAATCCATGTAAAACAGATTAAATAGAATTCAAGGTTTACAAGATATTAACTCCCAAATTTGTTTTAAAACAAGGAAAAAAATTCCATCTTCTTTGGTGCAATGGAAATGTATAGTTTTCTAATTGTTTCAGAAACATAGTAATAAATATCTGAATTTTGTTTTCTCAAAACTAAAGTAATACAAATAGAAATCCAAATAAATTTCAATATGGTTGGCTGTGTTTTGTTGTGTACTTTTTTGTTTTTCTTTTTTTTTTGCTTGTTTCATTTTTTGTGGGTTTTTTTTGTTTGTTTGGTTTGGTTGTGGGGGTTTTTTTGTGCATGTAAACCTAAAAATTGGCTTACAATCAAAATGTACAAAGCTTTATGCAAAACCAGTAGCCTGCAAGATAAAATCGCTATGTAAATTTAAAATACTGCCATAAGAGAAACACAAGGGATATTATCTACTATTTGAGTTGAGTTGCATAAGCAAAGCAAAACACAAAAGACTGGCTTACTCTCACCTTCATAGGTTGTTCCACACCAAATGCAATAAAAGTGTTCTTTTCTCAAGTAGGCTGTCAGGATGTGTAGCTTTTCTGATACCTAGAGATATAGACAGGAATGCAATGATCTGGGGCTCACATGACATATATCAGTTTAAGCTACCGGTTTGCTAAAATAAATTTTTAACCTTTTGCTATTGAAAAGCTACACAACACTGTAGCTCAGTAAGACATGAAGTTTTCCAAATCAGTAGAATAGGGCACAGGAATTCATCATCTCTGGAAAATTAACGGCTGTTGTTTGCTCATCCTTCTTTCCAGCTAAGTAATCTGCACTAAAGAGAGCTACCTAAAAACATTACTTAGCTACCTGTTTTCAAGTATACAGTATCTTTTTTGGATTTTTTCACACCCAATGTCTGACTGTGTAACCTAGTTCTCAAAAATTGTGAATTTCCTGTGTCCAACTTGGGATGATCTGCAAAGCATTTTCAGAAATTACTCGGTGATTCCCCAATTCAATCTCAGACATCAGATGAGGCATCCAAAATTAAAACTCAAAAGCAAGTAACTATGACCTTGCATAGACCAGCCTCAAAACAGATAAACAATAAATCAGCGGTTTAATGTTTTATATTTTATCATGTCACTGCTATAAGAATCACTGCTTTGAGATTGCAAAGAGGCCCTTCACTACAGCTTGGAAAATGACATGTATACATATATCATTTATATATATTTGTATACATACATACTGTTTAAGAGATTATTAAATTTAATCCTGAATCAAACCATTAATTTAGTTGCAGAGCTTACACTTAAGTCTGAGCTTGTGCATTCATCTTCCTTGTCTTCCTCATTCTTTTTGTCTTCCTCTTCAGGTTCTATCCAAAACCAAGTCTCTTTTGGAACTTCAATGTCCTTAAATAATGAGGGATTTAAATTGATGTTATCTGCCTTCGTAGGTTTTCTTGTAAGGTGCCGAATAAAACCAATTTCTAGAAGGTGAGGTGTTAAGTTTTAAAACTTGCATGTATAGTATAACCAAGGATTACTAAAGCTGTAGTGAGAAACTAAGTACAGCAATCCACAAGAAGGATTATTCACTTTTTTTTAAAATGATGAAATGCATGCTAACAACTAGTTCTATTCCATCTGTGTTTGGTATGTGTAAGGCTACATTGCAACATTATCTCACACCAAGGCTGGGAGCAGACACCCATGTTTATCAGTTAAAGACATGCTGCCCCAAATTATTTTGTCAAGAGATCACATGGTGCTTCCTAATCCACCTCAGGTAATGTTAAAGGAAGAAAAGTCAACAAAGATTATCTAAGCTTAACTTAGCTGACTTCATCTGAAGCAAACTAAGTAGTATCAAACAATCTCAGCAGAACTTGTGAGGTGGTATTAACCTCTAACAGGTTAATAGAGCAAAAAAATCTTGAAGTTTTCAAGTGGCAAAAATTATAGTAGTTCACTCCTATTACCTGTGTTATTCCTTGCAGGTGGAAGGTACTTAAGTTTTGTGGGTTTTTTTGTTGTTGGTTGCTTGGTTGGATTTTTTGTTTAAGTGCTGCTTTGGTGAATCTGCTAATTCCCTCAATCATGATTCCCATCCTTAGAAATACTAAAGAGCTGCCTGGACACAGTCCTGGACAACCTGCTTTAGGAGACCCTGCTTGACCAGGAGGGTTGGACAAGATAACCT